CACGCCACCGGTAAGTACCGGCCCTACCGGTCCTGCCCCCACATCCACGACCCCAACGGGGCCACACACACACTCAAGTCACTTAGACAGGCACGCAGCACACTCACACAGGTCAGCCAGCATTCAGACAGACATGCAGTCCAGCACACACACACACAAGCAGACTTAGCAGGCGGGGGAACTTAGTATGGCATGCATTCCACGGCAAGACTCAGAAATCGGCTGTCTGTTTCAGTCCGTGTGATGACAGGTCATAACACCGTAGTAAAACGTTTTATTCAGCCGTAACAAGTGCTCTTCGAACCGTGCGAGATGGTCGCCCATCACATGGCCCTCCAACCTGAGTAACAAGGCGCAGTCTCTTAACGCAGTCGGGAATTATGAAGTTCCGTGTGGAGCCGATGTCTACGGAGGCACCACACTTGCAGCCACCTGCACCGACTTCCACAACGAAGTGTTCCCCTCTAGGACCTCTTGACAGTGCCACCCAAGACTCACATGGGTCCCTTGCCCACCACTCAGTTTCTAATTCTTCGAAGGCTTCAGACGCATCCAACAAACAGAGAGTCGTTTGTTGTGGATGTGACCGTGGGGTGACTAGTGTGTCAATAGCTTCGATCAACTCCTGAAGTGGTGAGTGTACATCAACCACCTCAACATGAGTAGAAGCAGCCACTACTTTTACTAGTCGGATGTGTTTTCCTGATTGCTGCTCGTAGAAGCAGCATTTTGAGTGAAGGATTCCCCAAAACCACCTTTGGGCGCAATCTTTTGCGCGACCTTCACGTTCTAACATCTAAGTTGTTGATGGCCATATTCGCCTTAGTTGATGCAAGCTCCTCGCAAGTATCGGTCCCTCCACACATCCTGATCTAAACCCTCCGTCACCCAAGCCGAAGTCTTGTTTGAGTTTTAGGGATGCCCCTTTACTCTTTTGTTGACCGCCCTTACCGCGGCCAGCCGTCTTACCTTTGGTAATGGCAGCGAGGTTGCCACCCTCTACACTCTCCTTGCCACCTACCTTTCTGTCCTCCACAAGATCAAAGAGATCATCGATCTCCGTTTGATTCCAACCATCATCAATCGACTACCCTTTTTCTTCCATTCTTGTGGGGTCTTCTTCTTCCTCCCATCCATCACAGGTTGTTGTGCTCCCCCTAGCTTAGCCTCTAAATCCGAGGCCTTCTTGCTGAAGGAGTCGAAGGTGTAACCATCAAATTTTTTATGTCTGTGAGAAGACATCTAAGATACACGGTCAGCAAGACCTGTAGGTCATAGCGGACTCCAAGGACGACAATGAGTTGCTCCACAACACTGGTAAGTTCTCGCGTAGACTTGTACCTTCTGGTCTCAAGCCGGGTCAGCGCGTCAGTGGCCTGTTGGGCCTGTTGCAGGTTGTGCCATCACATTTCTACCAATGCCAAAGCGCTCTCTAATGTGTGGGTCCTTGCCCAATCATTCATTCGCCGACCGTACCCTTTGGATACCACTATCCCATTTAGCCATTTTGTTGTTGATCCCTCAAGATATGAGGCGGCAATGATCACCTCTTCTTCTAGAAACGTCCTTTTTGCCCTTACCCACATTGGCACCATCCTTAACCAAGTGTTGAGTGCCTCATCCTTCTCATCTCCTGAGAAGGTAAGAGGTGGTTTCAGTGGGGTCTTGGGGTACCAAGGCTGTTGTGGTCCCATTGGTGGAACTGGCCGTGGCCCAGTAGCGCCGACAACTGGACTTGAGGATGAAGAAGTTGCAGTTTGTGCTGCTGCTGCTGACGTACCACTTGGCGAGAGACCAAACTGTAGAACAAAGGGACCTGTGATCGCCGACAGAGACACCAGCAATGGAAAAGTTGCTTGCTACTGAACACTTGGCCCACTAGGTGGGGGAGGTAGTGGTACTCCCCTTCCCTCCACAACCCGCAGTATTTGGTCAAGGGTTGATTGGATGTCATCCAGTTGGCTGTCAAAATACTCGTTCATATTTAGCAGATTAGCCTTGACGACCTTCCCTAGATCATCTAGGGTTGCATCATCTATCCCTTCTAATGCAGCCTTGTCCGCCTCTCTGCTCTCCATTCTAGCCTTATGATTTCTAATTTGGTCTTTTCTTTTGGTAGCTTCTCTGAGTTGCTTCTTTAACTGTAAGCGGAGTAACTCTACTTGTTGGAGTTCTAACTCCTCTCTAGTGGGCGGAGGTGGCTAGCTGTACTGCAAGCCTGTCATCTGACTAGTGGAGGGCCCTGCACTCGTCCCACTAGATGAGATGAAGGACATAGCAAATGTTCCTGATGTTTGCGGACCTTGAGAGGTCGCCGCAGGAGCAGCCATAGCTTCAGCACTAGCTGCAGCTTCCGCTAAAACACGCTCTGCAGCTGCTGCTGCTTCCCTAGTTGTTTGCAGATGTCGGGCCCTTGCTTCGTTTCGGAACCTCTCGTCTCCTGGTAGCAGGACTTACTGGAAGTATCCCGCCGTGTTTGCCTCCGATCATCAGCTGTTCCTTCCTCACTATCTGTACCGCTCATCAGCTAGGCAGATCACTATATGCACTAGTGCCCTCACTGGAGTCTACCACAACTTGTGTCTGACCGGGTTGAAAAATAATTAAAAATAATTAAATATCTGGTAAGTCAACTAGGCTACTGTTCAAGCGGTATCAATAACATATACACAAACTGATCATATGGCCTGCAGTAGTCCGCCATAGCCTCGGCCTCCAAGGAAGAAGAAGGGAGAGGCGGCCATGGCTATGGAGGACCTCAATAGTAGTCAGCTGTAGAAGAGGACCTTGGACTTTGATTCTGGATCAGCTGGTCAGCATTGTTGCAATAATTCTTGTTTGAATATAAGAGAGGGGGACATATGGAGTTGAGAAGTTGAGCGAAGGAGAAGTGCTTTGACATTGGTTCTTTGCTGGTGTACTTCATCTTCTTCCTTCTTCTACTACTTCTTCTTCTTCTTATCCTCTCAATCCTCTCAAGTTCATTCATTTCTTTTGCAATTGGGCAGCATTGTGCTTTATTGGTGAATTTGTACTTCGCAATTGGTCCGGGTCATAACACATTGTTGTTTTGTGACATTTTCTAGCCTAGGTTGCATCGCATGGACTCAGCATGGAGCTCGCTCCGCATCCTAGACTACTCAGGTTTTCTTTTCTTTGGTAGAGTTCCGCTTCTTGGCGGAAGCGTGCTTGTATCTAGGCGATCCATCACAGGCCGAGGATCGTGTAGCGGACCTCTGGTTGGCTTGTGAAACCAGCCCCTTGGTCTGTTCTCACATGCCTGTGTTCTTTTCGGGCGCAGTCCAGTCCAGTCCAGGCCGGTACCTCTGTCGGTACCAGCCAGTCCAGTCCAGTCCGTCAGTCCGCTGGGGTATACCCCAGCCATTGTCTGTTGTTCGGATTGATTCTTCACTTGCACATTTTGGAGTACGTGCGTTGGAGTCTTGCGTGGGGAGCTGCGTTGTGCCATCTCGCTCCCCCCTTCTTCCTCCATCTCCATCTCCACCACTAGCAGAGCACCACACCTGGTGGGTCCGCTACACACCGGCAGCACCGCCCCTCTCCAGCAGCACAGCAGCAGCCAGCCAGCATTCACACAAGTGAATGCCCCAGCAGCACTGCCACAATTGTGAGGCTGCTGGGTGGAGTGCTGGCTTTTATAGCCAGCCGAAGGCATGTGGACAGCTGCCTTGCCCACAGCCAAAAAACGTAGCTGTTCTGAGCCCTTGATCTGGACCTACGATCAAGGGCCATAATCCTTGATGTTCCCCTAGGGGAACCAGGGTCTTCAGTTCCTAGACGTATTTGGCCATTTTCCTGGGCTATGTACTTCTAGAAATGTCTGTACCCAGCCATTCCCTGCAGCCTGTTCAACTGAACAGGCGCAGTCCCATCAGCCCCTAGAAGCTTCTAGGGGCTGCACCTGTTCCACGGCTGCGGCCACATTCGCGGCCGTTACCTTTTTTTTCCCTCTTCCTCTCTTCTTTTCTTCTCTTTCTTCTCTCCTGTACCTGGCACGTCCTCCAGTGCACGTACGTCGAAGGAGTGGCTGAACTCAGCCACTTCCCAGATGGCCCTTCAGGTACAGGCTTTGCCTAAGTGGTCATACCCAGACCAACTGGCCTGAATCTGGGGCTTGACCACGGCCACATTCGTGGCTGTTGCCCCCCCCCTTTTTTTTTCCTTCTTCTTTTTTTTTTTCTTTTCTTAATGGGTGGGGCAACTGGTCGAAACGAGCAGCCACCCCCACGTCCAGTCTCAGTCAAGCTCAAAAGAGCCTTCTTTCTCCTGCCCACGCGCCCGTATCTCACACAAAAAAGTGCCAGGTTCAGGTGTGTGGGCACCAGCAACAGCCCGTTCTTGAAATGAACTGGCACCACCTATTTCCTAAAAAAAGAAAAGAAAAGAAAAAAAAAAAAATGAAGTAAAAAAAATCCTACCTTGAAAACAAACAGGCTGCCCATTTTAAACGGGCGCCCTCGTGCTACCTTCGGGGGACACAGTCCCCATCAGTCACTGTAGGATCTCTCTCTCTCTCTCTCTCTCTCTCTCTCTCTCTCTCTCTCTCTCTCTCTCTCTCTCTCTAGTAGTAGTAGTAGTAGTAGTAGTAGTAGTAGTGCCTTATTATAGGGGTAGGTTCACTCAACTTCCCTCCCCCTATCGATTGGAGTACCCTCTCTGCAGCCCGTTTTCCTGAAACGAACGGGCGCAGAGCAACTCTGGGGACCCTAAGTCCTCCGTCACTTTCAGTTGCGCCATGTGGCGCTTCGACTTTAGTTAGTTTTTTTATTTTATCTTTTCTTCTTCTTTTCTCTTCGTTAGCATAGCCAATGGTCGCATCACAGGTCACTTCGGGAGTGGTCCTACTACCAAACAGGATCGGATCGAATGCCTGAATCTGGATGAGATTATGGAGATGTGCAGGGAATCGAGATTGAACTGCTTTTCTGCATCTCTGCATAAAACACATCCAGATTCAGGATCTCGATCCCATCCTCTTTGCTAGTGGGACCTCTGCCCTCGTCGTATACCCACAATTGTTGGACTACTGACCCAAGTTCAAATCCAAAAAAAATATATATATATACTTTTATTTTTATTATTATTATTATTTTCGATTTATGTGTGTCATCCTTGCGCAGAGGCCATACTCCGCGCGGCTGATCTCAGCCATGCGATCCTGAGATCGCACGGCCAAGATCGGCCGCGTCACCAAGCACCAGCTCCAAAAGGAGCCAGCACCAGCAGGTGCACAGTCTCAGGCTCGATCCCAGCATCTGTTGGGTAGAAGTCAGGCACGATACCTACTGGGCTAGCTCCTATTACGGAAGTAATAGGAGCTGCTCTTCTATAAGAAGAGCTCTGCCCAGCCATCCTGCCGGCCTATGGCTTGGCAGGCCCTGCCTGCCTGCGGCCCTGCAGCCATGCCTGCCCATGGCCCGGTAGGCCAAGCCTGCCCGTGGCCCTGCAGGCCCATACTGTCTGTGGCCTTGCAGGCCTTGCCTGCCTGCCTGCCTCCATGGCTGGCTGGTTTGCAGGCGGCCCATAGCCTCAGCAGCCGGCCCACTCAGCAGGTCACAACACCACCCCCTCCGGTCCTCGGTGCGAAAGCCCCGAGGACCCAAAAAATTAGAACTCCAGGACCCAAAAAAATAAAATCTTCCTATTTCCTTTGCATCGCGACCCTATACCCGACACACCCCTCTTTTTAGCCTCCTTAGGCCCTGAATCGCGCGGCTTAACAGCCGCGCGACATTATTTTAGGTAGAATAGGTCTAGTTTTACCGTTCCCATATCCGCACATTCCTGCGGCTCCAACAAAGCGAAGCATTTACCATTCACATCCGCTACTCCTGGACGCCACACGTGTTCGGACTAACGTCCAAAACTTTTTGCCTGTCAGTCATAGTTCCGGTCTGGATAAACCTTTGGCAGATAACCCATCCCATCAAGTTAGGAAGCCCCAATAACCATTTACTAAGTCGGACATCGTCCGACATTTAAAAGCACCGAGCAGATACCCTTGTCAGGGTTTCTGCCCCGACAGCGCATCTGCCAGGAGAGGGTGGTGCCTCTGAAGGGCCTTGGTCGAAGCGCAGGTCACGGTCACCATGCCAACCCATGTGAGTAGTACACGCAGGCCATGCTGCTTTGTCCTTTGAAGCTCTTTGTTGCGCCAGTAGAGGAGACGTGGACTTACCAGTCCTTTGCAGACGCTCGCCAGACCATCTGTAAATATTTCTGGCAGGGATCTGATCTGGACAGTGGCTGTGATCATCGTCCTGTCTGCGACGTTAAACAATTCCTGAGGACCTTGGGGGCTGTCCTTAAAATGCCTCTTGATCAGCCAGATTAATCAGACGTAAGGCAGGTTGCACTCGAGGGTAAATAAAGGGCAATTCTGGTCATAAGCAAGTTCCTGGGCACAAGGGTGGGCTGTTAATGCACACCTTAGTCACCGTTGTTCGATGATGCGGACAGGTACGTTGGATACAGGGGAAGGAAGATTCCAATTGGTGCTCAACTGCAATCACAATTGTTTCCATTGTACATACATTTGCGCATGTGATTTATGTCCAGAGGACAACACAGAACAGCTATGGCTGTCCCGCACACACCACCATGCTCCGAACCACCTTGAA